CCACTAAAGACTGAAGAGTTCTGCCTTGTGGGATATAACGCCAAGTAGTCTGTGGAAGGTTAACCGACGTTTCGGTGGAACATCGCCCTTCTCTGTAAGGTCGAAGTGAAAGCCAAGCACGAACCAGAATGAACCAGGGAACAAGCTGTACCAGATGGAGAAACAAGAAAGAGGTCACGTGTTTCATATCATAAAGCAGCAACTACTGAATTTTGATGGTGCTGGGCGCCTACACAAAATGTAGACGAGTGAGTTTAATTTCAGTTCGAATTTGGCAAACATAAGCTAAATATTAGCTTACACTACACTCAAATTGAAATTAACATTTTTTTTTAAACCGGGTATTTTTTCTTCAAATTTATAAATCACATCCCCTCGTTGGTGTCTCCACCTTATCGTGGTGAATGGGTTTGAGTATGCCAAGGACCCTGAGAGCTATACCAGCGGTAGCGTAGCTACTGGCAGGGCCTCCCTTGCTGGACAGGTCAAAGGGTAGGCATCAGACGAAGAGAGATACCAAAAACCAAAAACTGATGCCGGAAGCAGCGTCATCAGTAGCGACTTGAAGCACGGAGCAAATGATGCTCGAGATGGTTCAAGTTCGTATAGCAACAGGCGTGACCAGAGTGGTTTGAACGGCTGTTGTACTGCGATGTGGAAAGCAAATGGAAAAACTACCACATTATCATTTTTCCTGGATAGTCTCTTTCCAAGAACAGAGATACCATGTATGCGACCAGAAGACGAGGAAGAAGACGTAAGAAGATGCTGGTTGAACTGTTTTGGAAGAGACTGTGGACCTGTCGTCTGACAGATTACTGATGAATGAATGAATGAATAAATCACATAACGTGAAGCGCAGTTCTCAATGACCGAAATACAGGTCCACAAATTTTATTTACACTATCTTCCGACATGATGCTAATTCACAAAAGTAATGTATAACTCTGTGTATTTAAATACCAGTGAACTATTTTATTGCAATTACTAGTATGAACTCCGGACCGCCTCTGTGGTCTAGTGGTCACAATTCCTGGTTATAGATCCAGAGGTCCCGGCGCTACCTGATTTTCTGTGAAGTAGTGGGTCTGGAACGGGGTCCACTCAGCCTTGTGAGGATAATTGAGGAGCTACTTGAATGGAAAAGTAGTGACGCCGGTCTAGAAAACCGAGATTAACGGCCGTGGGGATCTGTTGCGCTGACCATGTGACAACACTCTATCCGCAAAAGTTGGCACTAACTTCGCCGACAAGCGGCGTTCGCTCGGTCGGTAGTGTTCGCTTGCGGACTACAGGCCACGGAGTACTAGTATGAACCACTTTGTTTTCCTTTGTAACGTGCATAACAGGGAGGAATCGCTGCTGAGTGCGATGCAAATATGGTCCGAATGGATCACAGTTCCCGCTATTTACACGCGAGTGCCGACTGTACCGCTGTCGCCAGCGAAATGTACAGCGCAGTCGTTCGGAGGAGAATAACACCAAACCGTTCTGCGACGTCTAAACATCTCACATTACATGCAGCTATATGAGGCACATGGAAGTTATGTTTTCTTTCGGGCCGCCACTGCTCATGACTTCATCACGAGGTCACCACTGTGAACTGAAGTGTAAACGATGAAGTCACTACATATACAACTGCGTGATAAGGGGCTACACGTAATTGCATGGCTGTGGGGCTGGTTGGTCAGTTCACACAGAGAGCGAAGTTAAAATGGGACATGCATCACAAGAAGTGCGTACTGAATGTTTCGAGGAAGCCTTTTCAAAAACAATTTGTTAGAAGAACAACAAGGATGAATAGAGATGAGATCCCGGAAGATATATAGCGAGGATGGGAGGTGGACGACCGGGACTCAGAATTTGTGTCCAATGGCGGATTTCGGTTTTGGTGTTGTAGTATCTATGAAATCTGGTTTCAGAGCGTGTTAATTTATTTTATTAATGAAGTGTTTCATCAATTGGCTCGTAATCGTGTCATTGTGCTAATCACTTGGTTCCGTTATCTGAGAGGGAGAGAGGTACAGCCCATGCCCGTGGCGACTGAGAGCATTGGCACTGTCGGTGTTAGGGCCCCCATACACACACAGTTTGGCCTCCAGTTCGGCCTGCACAGTTGAAGACTGAAAGGCAAAACTGACGTGTGTGGTGCGGCCGGCCGGCCAATCGTTTGGACTGTTGGCCTGTGGGAAACCCGTCAGTCCGTCAGTTCTGCCTGCAGGACCGTAGCACGTGACGTGTGTGACTCAACATTATAGGCTGGAAGACCGTGATTGTGGCATGAAGCCTGCCGCTTTATCTGCGCGTGTATGGGGAGGAAAGGGAGGGGGTAAACTGTCACATTTTTGCCTGTAAGGTCGATCGGAAGGCCAAACTGTGTGTGTGTATGGGGGGCCTTAGACCTTTTGGTTTTTATCAGACAATTTATCTGAACTAGCTCAATCATGTCCCCTGGCTGGCCTCCGTACTTCTTGTGATGAATTGTCGGATTATATTACCAGGTGAGAGAGCGAGAGAGGGAGGGTAGGAGACGAAGAGACCCATAAACATGCCCACTGGCAGACTTTGGTACTAGCAGTGCAGAATGTTCGGGTTTCATTACCAGAGGTAATCAGTTGACGTGGCGAGGAATCACGTGTTGGAACTTCCGATTTATACTAGAGACAAACCATTCAAATAGCTTAGAATCTTGTCCAATGTCGATAAGTTCGTACTGGTGATGTTACTTTATCCTCACTAATGATAGTTACACTGACTCAGAATTGTCTAGTGGCGAGTTGCGGTATCAACGGAGTTGAATTTTGGGGCTCTATTACCAGAAAGAGTTTAACTGACCTACAAACATATCTAATGGCGGTTTGGTTCTATCGGTGTTGAATGGTTGGGTTTCTACTGCAGAGTTAATTAAATTGACTCGGATCATGTCCAAAAAGTGGCGTTAATACTGGAGGTGGCGACTTTTCTATTTCTGTTGTCATTTAGTTTCTTAAACTGCGTCGACATCTTGTCCATTGCTGAATTATGGTACTAGCGATGTTGCATCTTCATGCACTATTGCCAGAGAGAGGAAAAACTCCGTGGTCTGTAGTCCGCAAGCGAACTATACCGACCGACCGACCGACCGACCGAGCGACCGCCGCTTGTCGGCGAAGTTAGTGCCAACTCTTACGGATAGAGGGTGTCACGTGGTCAGCGCAACGGATCCCCTCGGCCGTTAATCTCGGTTTTCTAGACCGGAGTCCCTATTTCCTTGAAATAGCTCCTCAATTATCCACACGAGGCTGAGTAGACCCCGTTCCAGACCCATTACTTCTCAGAAAATCTGGTAGCGTCGAGAATCGAACCGGGGACCTCTGGATCTGTAGCTAGGAATTTTGACCACTGGACCTCAGAGGCTGTATGAGAGAGAGAGAGAGAGTTGGTTAAACTGGGTCAGCGTAATGTCCAAAGGCGAAGTTACTTATTAACGGTGTTTAATCTTCGGGTTATGTTGCCTGACAGAGCTGACTGTACTTGTGCAGAATCATTTAGTTCTTAGAACGAAACAGTAGTTCTGATCTTCGGGCTGTTATCAGAGAGATTAAGTTAACCTGGAAAAGAGTCGTGTCCAGTTGCGGACTTGCGTAGCAGTGCTATAGACTTTGTTAGCTTAGAGCCCTGTTATCAGAGACAGCGAAACTGATTCAGAATTATGTTCAAATTCGGACTTTCCTGCTGTGTTGCATATTCATGCTCCATTACTGAGAGTCAGTTAAATTGGTGCTTGCTTTCGTACCACCAACGTTGAATCTTCGGATTCTGTTACTGCAGATTTAGTTAACGTGACTGGGCCGCGCCACAGCTCAAGCGGTTAGTCACTGGCTTCCCACCGCGGCGGCCCTGGTTCGAGCCCGGGTCTGGTCAAGTGGGATTTGTGGTGGACAAAGTGGCGATGGGGTGGGTTTTCTCCGAGTACTTCGGTTTCCCTTGCCAATCTTCATTCTACAAAATTCTCCATCTTCATAATCACCCGTGGCTGGTACAATAGGCCAAACAGGGGCCGACGTGCCGAGTAGACCCAGCTGGACTCCACCCCCCACTAGCGAATTCAATTTTTTGTTCTAGTTAACGCGACTCATCATGTCCAGTGGTGGAGTTCCTTACCTTGCGCTGTTGAATCTTCGCTCACCGACACCAAACTTTTAGTTATTCGAAATTACGGGTTTTTGGACTCTGTACCTTGTCCGATATTCTTAAGAGAGCGAGAGAGAGAACAGCTTTTCGGAGACTGCATCTGTTTCCAAAACGCGCTGTCTTCTCTAGTTCTTTTCTAGAATACCGGACGATGGACAGAGTCCAAAAACCTAGTAATTTCAAGTGTTGTACACTATCGTAAGAACCCTTTAGAATCTAGATTTAGTTACGTTGGCTGAGAACCCTCATCCCCACCATTCACGGGACACTTTCCGTTACCTCAGTATAGCTGTGCTGAATATGCGTGTTCCATTACAATCTACACACGCCTAGCTTGGTCTCCCATAGCGGCTTTGGGTTCTGTGGTAGTTAAATTAGCTCAGGATTGTTTCCAACGCTACAACTGGTTAGCCGATCACGGTGGCCACGATGTCTATGGCATGAACCGTGTTCCTTCGCTCGAACGCTGGGATCGTGGGTTCGAATCCCACTCAAAACATGGATGTGTGTGTGCGCGCGTTTATTCTGTGTTTATGTTGTCCTGTGTATAGGTAGCGGCCTTGTGACGGGCTGATCACTCGTCCAAGGAGTCCTACCGACTGTGTAAAAAAGATTACGAAACTGAAGAAGAGGCCAGGGCCCAACAAAGGGCTGTAGAGCCTCTGATGAATGAATAACTGGTTAAGGATCGTTCCTATGACGGGACCTGATATTAGCTGAACCTTCAGGTTCCAATACCGGGGACTTGGTCAATTAATTAAGTACCCTGCTGGCTGCTTTGCTCAGTGGGATGGAAACTCCGGTGCTGTATCATTAGGGACACTTACGCGCTTCCAAGAGAACGTGTAGGCCACGTCCATGAGGCAGAACTCGTCTCGGAGACATTCCCCGGCGTAGATGATGTCCACCCGATGTTCGGACCTGAGGCCGTACTTCATACGGATGAATTTCTTGAGGTGCTTCATGCTCACGGCGGCCGGACATTGCAGGTAGCGCCTGTGTGGCATCTGCAACAAGAACAAGCGTCGTTATTTGATTCTTGGGACGTCGAGTCTAAAACGTATAATGGACTAGGCACGTTTGTCTCTCCGCCCTTTCACACGTCAACCCCCATCCGGGCCTATTGTACAGACCCAGCCAATGCTCGTCTTTGGAATCTATACGAAATGATGACAGAAATTTTTAATTTTGTTCACTGTCGGTTCAATATAAGATATAGTTTGTATAGAATGTATATAACACTTATTCATGCGTGTTAAACACTGTTCAACTTATACAAACAATACAGGACATGAGGTACAAATTCAATTAAGTTTCTGGCTTTCATTTGATTTTCATATGGTCAGCCTAACAAAACAAACTCTGCTGCTTTAGTCCGCAAGCGAAGTTTACCGACCACCTGTGTGGTCTAGTGGTCAGAGATCCCGGGTTCGATTCCCGGCTCTACCAGATTTTCTGAGAAGTAGTGGGTCTGGAACGGGCTCCACTCAGCCTCGTGAGGTGAGGAGCTATTTCGAGGAAATAGCGGCTCCGGTCTAGAAAACCGAAATTAACGGCAGTGAGGATCCGTTGTGCTGACAACGCGACACCCTCTATCCGCTAAGTTGGCACTAACTTCGCCAACAAGCGGCGGTCGCTCGGTCGGTATAGTTCGCTTGCGGTACTAAAGGCCACAGAGTTTGTTTTTGTTTTTAGACTATATTTAACGACCCAAAAGAAAATACTGGACCTATTTACGATTTATCAACGTTACCTTCAGGGGCTACTGGAGATGTCTTCTCATACGTGCTCTGACCCCAAAATCTGGAATACAAACTTCATATGTGCCAAGTGGGCGCACACAGAGGTGGTCAAAGCTGGCGACATCACAAGCAACAACAAGAATTGCATTTCTAACATCATGAGCTGTCTGTTATAACGCGTCACTGCGTCTTTCTAACGCGAAACGTACCGTGGGCTACCAGACAAGGCCACGACGAAGGGCTCTGCATACAGAGAGTGTGGAACTCGGCAGCACAGATAACATAAGACGTTGCTGTTCTGTTCCGTGACAGTTCTTCGACCGTTCACATTTTGTACTACAGGCCTGTATGTGTAAATCAAAATTACGGAAAATACAGGTTTGCTTTCCTGTTGTATGACTGGCTGATTCTTAATTGCTACCTCAACTGCCAAGATTAAAAAACTAGTCGTATGCTAGGCCGATTTCGTGATGATCAAAACATGTGGGTGGAGGCGGCAGTGACATATGAATATGTTATTTGCTTTGACGGACTGAATAAAACAACGAAGACCATCGTGGCAGCTGGCCTCCGAACCAAGATTTGAACCTGTATCCTCAAGAATACGAATCAGTGAATAAGCTATGGGGCTGGAGGACAGTAGCGGTTGCAGTGCCAGGCGGACTCAGTTTCACCCCATCAGGAATAAAAAAAAAAGAAAAAGAAAAAAGAAAAAAAGCTATGGGTTGAATGGTCGGGGTTCGACTTCCGTCAGAGGCAGGGATTTTCTCCAGATGGCTCTAGCGCCCCTCCCCACCCCCAACGACTGTTCTTTCGCCAGAGACAAGGAGACCGGGTCATGAAGCTGACCTTTTCCTTTCATCTACTTCCGAGACTAAGAACGCGTCTGTTCCATACTCCGTGGCCTGTAATCTGCATGCGAACTATACCGACCGAGCGACCACCGCTTGTCTGGGAAGTTCGTGCCAACTTTAGCGAATAGAGTGTGTCACGTGTTCAGCGCAACGAATCCCACGGCCGTTAATCTCTGTTTTCTATACCAGAGCCGATTTTTCCTTGAAACAGCTCCTCAATTATCTTCACGAGGCTGAGTGGACACCGCTCAAGACCCACTACTACTTGTTGTAGCGCCGGAAATCGAACCCGGGACCTCTGGATCTGTAGCCAGGAACTCTGACCACTAGACCACCGAGGCGGTCTCGCGTCTGTTCCATAGACCTACTTATTCATGATATGGTGATTCTGCACAGGGATTCGTCTTCATGTAGTGGTGTGTACCTGAGTACAATAAAAACTGTACCTTTAGCTTACGCTTCTAATATTAATCAGGAGATACTGCAAAGTAATGTTGGATGATTTCGGCTGCTGTGGGTAATGATGAAGTGACATGACTGCAGTGCGTAATTTGCACACAGTTCTGTTTTCCCTGTGACTCAGATCCCCAATATTATACAAATGTACTGTAAGAGCTTCACGAAATCACTAAGAACGTCCGTGGATACATAACTAATTAAGCACTACGCCATGAGGATGTATGGCGAAATGGATGTATACCTCCATTTTCATGACCTTGGCATTAGTTGGAGGTGAGTGGTCAGCTTCACGCCCCGGCCGCTTTACTCCCAGGGAAAGAGACCCTGGCACACATTGGATAGGAGGCTGGATGAGCCCCACAACCGGAATGGACGGTGTAGATTGGTGAAAAGTTTTACTCCCACCAGGGTTCGAACTTCGATCCCTCGGCCGTCCGGGTTGTAGCCAGTCGCTATACCGACTAGTGGATACAAATGGAGGCCCAATCATGACAGTTTCGCAGTTCAGCAACGTAAAAGTGGTAGCAGTGGGATGGACAGCACCCTTACTGCCAGTCACTGTCCAGTCATGAAGTTCTGTATGCTGACAGATGTTAAATACAACTTACTATTGAGTTACGCACTCCGCCATTTTTCTCATATTTGTCACTGCCTGAGAGCATGCTCTGGTACTACGTGGTGGGAAGGATGGGCGCAAGCCTGCTCAGTCTGTCCAGTATTATACCAGTACTCCTCTTTACATTTATCCTTTGTGCTTATTCTGGGACAACCCAGTAGCACGCACCGTAAACACATCAGCACAATCTGTTGCCTGTTAGAGCTGGAGGCAGAAGCAGACAGAGCTAGGAGCAAGCCACGTTTCACTGACAGTCAACTGTGAAATACAACATGGCGACGGCACAAACACGATGTCTCGACGACAGCTGATGAACGACTGTAACGCGAGTGTTAATTTTGTATGGTAGAAGGTAAAGTAGCCGAGCGGTCTAAGGCATGCACTGTCTTCGCTCGCTCGGAAGCCGGGATCGTGGGTTCGAATCCCACTCAGGGCATGGATGTTAGTTTGTGTGTGTGCGTTTTTCTGTGTTTGTGTACAGGTAGAGGCCTTGCGACGAGCTGATCACCCGCCCAAGGAGTCCTACCGAATGTTTAAGTTCCAGAAAAACCGAAGTGAACGGAGGAGTTCATGGAGGTAGCCCTAGGCCCACTGGGGCTGTACTGCCAAGGAAGAAGAAAAAAAAAAGTTGTCCTTGTGCTTAACTAATTAACCAATATGCCATGACGACGTATGGGGGAGTGGATTTATAGACCCACATTTTCTTTACCTCGGCACTAGTTGGAAGTGCGTGGTCAGCTTAATGCCGCGGCAGCTTTACCCTTGTGGAAAGAGCCCCTGTACCCACTGGATAGGAGGATGGACAATTATTAAACCTGTTAACAGGCGGAGGATAGCTCAGTCGGTAAAGCAACGGGCCACGGGTTGGACGGCCGGGGTTCGATTCACGGCAGGTGCAAGAGATTTTTGTCTACTTCACAGCGTCGAATAGAGTAAATATCTTGACTCTGCGCGAATCGAACCCCGGCCGTCCAGCCCGTGGCCCGTCACTTTACCGACTGAGCTATCCTCCGCCTGTTAACAGGTTTAAGAATTGTAGTGAATTCTGAACAGAATCAACAAGATCAGGGCGCGAGTATCTGACAATACGAAGAACGACGTCCCCTGGAATATGAAGCNCACATTTTCTTTACCTCGGCACTAGTTGGAAGTGAGTGGTCAGCTTAATGCCGCGGCAGCTTTACCCTTGTGGAAAGAGCCCCTGTACCCACTGGATAGGAGGATGGACAATTATTAAACCTGTTAACAGGCGGAGGATAGCTCAGTCGGTAAAGCAACGGGCCACGGGTTGGACGGCCGGGGTTCGATTCACGGCAGGTGCAAGAGATTTTTGTCTACTTCACAGCGTCGAATAGAGTAAATATCTTGACTCTGCGCGAATCGAACCCCGGCCGTCCAGCCCGTGGCCCGTCACTTTACCGACTGAGCTATCCTCCGCCTGTTAACAGCTTTAAGAATTGTAGTGAATTCTGAACAGAATCAACAAGATCAGGGCGCGAGTATCTGACAATACGAAGAACGACGTCCCCTGGAATATGAAGCCGTGTAATCTGGTAGAAGTCTACAGTTGTTTCGGAAGAACGTGTAGCTTCTTTTGCAGGATCGAATAGTAGCCAAACGAAAGCAAAGATTCGTACTCCTCGGCCCACAAAATGGAGGCAGGTTTATGAGATGGGCAGCCTATTTGTACCAAACTACACGGCGTCACATTCCAGAAGCCTATTCCTTATAGACACCGCCATGAGACTCAAATATCTGACGCTATGTTTGTAAAGAAGTGGAAACTACGCTCACTCTTTATTATCCCGGTCTCTGAAGGCCCTATTTACTGCGCTCTTACACCTTGGCATCGGTTCGAAGCGGGACACGGGAGGGTTCGAGGGGCAGGATGCTCCTTCCATGATCAAGGGAAGGGTTGTGTACAAACGTGTACACCCGCGCGATGAGGGTGGGCTAGTCAAGCAGCAGTAATCGCTGGTAATCACAGTGACCTTTTCACATCAACAATCGCTCTGTACTTTGTTTCATCATCATCATCATCATCATCATCATCATCATCATCAGTAATCTGTCAAGACGACAGGTCCACAGTCTCTTTCAAAACAATTCCTCCACTTAATGCGATCTAGAGCTTTCTCCTTCAAATGACAGTATCCTCTTCTGTCCCCAAGGTCATCCAGCATCTTCTTACGTCTTCTTCCTCGTCTTCTTGTCACTTCTATCCGCCCATCTATCTTTCCTTCGATAGCTTCTTTTAGAAGGCAGTTTCTGCGTAAAACATGACCAATCCAATTAGCCTTCCGTTTTCTTATTTCATGTAGGATATTCCTCTGCTC